AGTCAGGGCCGTCTCTTCGGGGTTTACCTTAACCTACCAGAACCTACTTTTTTGTAGGGTCCCTATAAATCCCATATTAGGGTTTATAATAAGAACCTAAGAAAGAGTGGGCTATGGTTGGTTAAGGTAGAGAGGCTTTCAAAACAGCCAAGCTGGTGCCAGCTCCCCCATCCTGGAGCTCGTGGGGGGAGCTCACCTCGGTGTGTAAGGCAGATATGAACCCAGCGATTCTGCTACCCTCTAGGCCGTGAATCTGCTAATATGGAACCAGCATCTGATCGCTTTGTTGCCGTAAGTTCTTGCACGCAGAAGCATGTTTCGGTGTGGTGCGCTAGTAGAGTGAAACGGCAGAAGCGCAGTGGCAGCCTCCTCTCTGAGTCTCTGAAGCCACGAGGACGCAGTATCGCGCCAGTGGCCCTCTTTGAAAGGAGCACTGCAGAGTGTCAGGCACCCCCAAAACTCCCCTCAACCCCAAACTCGAGAATCCTAGAACTGCACCTAAAGACCCTAAACCCCCTAAACCCTAAACCCGTTCATAGAGCGGTACGCCCTGGAGTTGCCGGTTGCGCAGGCTTCCGGCTTCGACGTCCCGGTAGCTGCAGCTTCTGGAGGCCACGGATACTTTGGACATCTTTGGACTACGATTCGGAGCCGGGGGGGGGGGGAACTTCGAAGCGTCAGGATGCAGAGATAGAGAATACGGGTTTCGCCTAGACTGTACCCAAACTCCAGCCAGGACTTATGAGTCTTTGAATATGGACTTTAGATGCAATTTCAGGAACATTCAGGTGAAGCGTGAATGGATGCTTGGATTGCGGTTGAACTTGGGGTTGAAGGCTCGTAGGAAGGCTTTCAGCGACCCAAAGGCCCCTCCAAAACCCTAACTAAACCCAACTACAAAATTGAATGAGGGGTTCAATCCTCTTAAATACTACAAAATTGAATGAGGGGTTCAATCCCCCTAAATGGGTTTAGGGTTTAGGGTTTAGGGGTTTAGGGTTTAGGGTTTAGGGTTTAGGGTTACACATCGGACCGCATGGTGGAACAACCCAGAGAAGGCCTCCACAACTCGTTGCTTCGTCGAGCTTCCGGGGCCAATGCTTGCGCAGGTTTGCAGGGTTTACAGTACTTGGAGGATGATGGGGCTTCGTAAGCAAGGGTTATAAGTTGTAAGTTATAAGTACCTTAATTGGGTTGTAAGTAAGTATAGGTATAGTTAACTTATTCGTAGCACTAGTTACTAAGCCCCATGATCCTTTAAGTAGGGCGTTGGGTTTGTGGTTCGAGTTTTTTGTTGGTGGATTTTCTGCCTTTCGGGTTTTAGGCCTTTGACGGCTTAGGGCTCTAGGGTTTGGTTGGTGTTTAGGGTTTAGGGTTAAGGGTTTTGGGTTTAGGGTTTTAGGGTTCTGGCACCATTTAGCGATCGCGGCTGGCGAGCGAAGCCCTGAAAGCCAACTCCTCAGTCCGAACTCCGATATACTCATGCTTACGCTTACTCCTGTTTTTGTTTTGTTCTACAGGTAACTAATTAGTATATTTTTGGTGATGATCATGGAGTACTCGAAGACCGTTGTTTTTAATGGGGCTCAGCAGCCGAATCGTTGGAGTCCACGGATCGATTGTTGCTCGAGCCCGAAATGCGCTCACACGAGCCCCGAAGCTGAGGCGGATGCCGTGCTGAGGCTTTTGCCCGTGCCAGCCGTGCAGGCATAGCAATGCGGTGCTCACATTTCCGGGGTGCTTCGAAGGCGTGATGATGATGAGTGCTTCAATCGCATAATCTTGCCTTATCACCACCGAATCATGACAGGATCCAAAGTTTGGGTGCTTTCCCCGAAAGCCGTCTGCGACGCAAAAGGCAGTGATTTCGAGCAGTAGAGCTCTGTGTGCCCTCGCCATGCCACTCTATCGGAAGCTTTGGATCGTGGTTTGGAGTTTCTGGGTGAGTGCACAGGATGCCCAGCCGTGCCCCAAGGGCTACTACTGCCCAGAGCAGACTCGCGCCTGGGACTAGCAATCACACTCTTTTTGGCAGGGTTTCTTCAGAAGCAGGGTACCCTACGTAGGGGTCTTTGTGAGAAGGATCCTTTTGTTTAGGATTGGGATTGGGTCCCTTCTCCCAAAAAGGTCCCACGTCCTCCTACCTAGTGCAAAGCCACTTGAAGACTTGAATCTCAGCAAGTTCCCTGCCGCCATGAAGGCCAGCCGGTTCTGTGCCCAGCGAGCCACTACTGCCCGGAAGGCAGCTCTGAGCCTTCGCTTTGTCCGCCTGGGCATGTCTGCAGGGGCCAGGACCTGGAGGCCTTGGTAAACGGAACATGGGGAGGCCTGGTGCCGTTGGCTGCAGGGTTGGGCCAAACGGTGGTTGTCTCCAACTTAGGCCAAGTCTGGGCAGCAGGCGACAACAGCAACGGCCAGCTGGGCACCGGTAGCACTCTGGGGCAACAGGCTTTTGTGCAAGTAGAAGCTGTTGGCCACAAAATCGTGGCCGTGTCTGCTGGAGAATTCCACACCGCTGCCATCACAGAATCTGGCGAGCTGTGGACGTGGGGCTACAATAATGGTGGCCAGCTTGGCGTTGGGGACACCGCGGATCGCCATGCCCCGGTCAAGGTGAGCGTGAACGGCCAGAAGGTCGTGGCCGTTGCTGGGAGCATACCACACCGCTGCCATCACGGACTCTGGCGAGCTGTGGACGTGGGGCGAGAATGATCATGGCCAGCTTGGCGTTCGGGACCCCACGGATCGCCTTTCCCCGGTCAAGGTGAGCTTGGTGTTGGAAACACAACGGATTGCGATGCCCCCGTCAAGGTGAGTGTGAACGGCCAGAAGATCGTGACCGTTGCTGCTGGACAGCTTTACACAGTCGTGATCACTGATTCGGGCGAGCTGTGGTCCTGGGGCTGCAATGGTGCTGGCAGGCTTGGCATTGGGGACACTGCGGATCGTCATTCACCGGTGAAGGCGGCGGCAGTGCCGGCCAGGGTCAGCGAGACGCATTTCCCACTGTGCTGGTCTCCGGGGCGCCGTGCACCAAGTTCGTTGGGCGAGGCCTTCCTTGCTGCAACATGGGGATCGAGGATTCCCGTGCCACGTGAGTGTGGCGTGTTGCGTAGCCAGCTCGCTGCTTTCCAGCAGAAGTGCCGCGTGCATGTGGGCGCTTGGGAGGCAACACTGTGCCCCGCAGGCTCTTTCTGTCCGAAGGAGCAGGTCGGACCCTGCTCAGGTGCGCAGTGGTGCCCAGCAGGTTTCTTTTGCACCTCACCTGAACAAGTTGCCACGGAGCATGTCATGTTTAGTTTGCAAAATGCCAGGGAGAGATAGGTAGGATCGTTGTTTCTCATGTGGCCCTTCTCCCACCAGTCTGGATGCTGAGGTACCGGGGGCTCTACGGCACCGACACCGTGCAAAGCTGGGGTTTGGTGCCCGGCCGGGAGCACCGGCCCTCCTGGCAACGAAGGCCACTGCTGTGTTTACCTGATATGGGGGTTTCCGAAAATAGGGGAACCCCCCTATTTTCGGAAACTCCCATATGTTGTGTCTCTTACGTCGCCGTCTTGCCAGCCAGCTGCGTCTTCTTTTCCATTCTACATCCTTTACTTGAGGCTTGCTCTCCAAGACCCCAAGATGCGAAAGACTTCGCTTCTCAGACAGGTCTTTCGCACATTCACTCATTGTCAACACTTGTTCATACATCTTGCCACAATCCTGCACCCCCCAGCTCCGAAGCATCTTCCGAGATCTTTCGCAGTGCCTGTGTTTGTCTGTGCGAAGTCAGTACAGCTGGCATTACTCTGAACATGTTCGGTTTCCGGTGGCGAGCACGAATCGAGCCTCGTACTTTCTTGTGACGACGAAGCCTTAGCCAAATCGTGAGTTCGACATCGCCCCATCAGTGCAGAGACTCCAAGGCGGGGTTTTGGAGTCTCCGGGAACCCCGAAGCCTTTTGACCCCAGGCGCAGCTGGCGAAGCTGGGTCTGCTGGCGACACTCGCGGTAGCCAGTCGGAGGGCAACAGCACGGAGGCGGAGAGAGCACGAGGCGGAGAGGGAGAGAGAGAAGCAGACATGTTCGTACATACATGCGCTATAGCGAAACCAGCCGAAGCAGCAATGCTGGATAGACCGATGTGTGTACACATAGTACTGTACATACGTGTATGTAGGCTACATAGGTGTCTGCTGCTCGGCACGGTTTACGAACTCTCCGTCCTAGCCACTCCTGGGTCAGGTGGCGGGGACACTGCCTGGGACTTCCGTGGTACAGAAGCCGCCCTGGGCCTTTGGCCTAGCTTTATGATCGTCTCAGCCCTGTCTGCCATCTGCTTGAGGGTTTTCATTCGCTTTTTCTGGTGTAGCAGCCCGGTGACCCAGTACGACCATTGCGGGCGGAGAGTTCTGAAGATTCGCTCCCCCAACAGCATCTCCATCCACGACGTGTCGGTGCACCACTTCGGCCTCCGTGTGGAGGTATACTTTGGCCACAGGGCCGCGAAGCGCCAATTAATACAAACCCAACTTCACTCATCACGCGAAACCTTCGAATTCCGACAACATGAGACGGTAATGAAGGATGGCTTCCTCTATCTGCACTTTGCTGAAACTGTGGAGCGGAAGTACGAGCTCCGGATGGAGGGAACTGGGATGCGAGTGAAAGAGGCACAGAGAACAGCTTCGAGTATGTGGCTCTGGGTGAAGAGGAAGTGAACGGTGCAAGTGTGTAGGGGCTGTTGTTCTTGCTGAGCTGATGGAATTCGCAGGATGTCTTGGCACAGATGTCCGGGCGCAAAGGTAAGGTGCCAGCCCCTCCGTCCTTGAAGCCTGAAGCGCTGTGTTACCATTGTGCGCGCAAAGGTATAATTCGATATGGTAGAGGAAGTCGCAGAGGCACAGCGGCAGTTTCGTCTTTGAAGCCGCGAGGAAAAGGGTTGTGCCACTGCGACCGCTTGCTGGACGGTGCTGTTGCAGATGTTCGTGCTCAGAGCCTCCTCACCTGCAAACCCACCAATCAGAAACCCTAAACCGTAAGCCCTAAACCCTAAACCCTAAACCCTAAACCCTGAACCCTATGAGCTTCTGCAGTCTCTGAGCCCCAGAGCCTGAATCCCGAAGCCCGAACCGCCCTGAAAGTGACAGCTGGGCTGCGCAGGCTTCCGGCTTCGAAGTCCTTGAGGTGGCGAGGTTGCACTTCACTGCAGAGGCCACGGTCAACTATTTTAGAAAGACCCTAAACCGCCATCTGGGTACGGGCATCGTCTAAAGTTCCGAGTTCGAGGTTTAAGTTTAGGGCCTTTAGAGTTTGGAGCTGCGTAGTGCAGGCAAAGGTGTGGTTCGGTCTGGCTTTCAACAATGATGGCTGAAGGTTCCTACAGGTTGCAGGGATGTGCGGGAAGACCCAGAATGCCAGAAGTATTGCACTGTTACGTCAAAATGGATGAGTGCGAAGAATGCTTCCCTAACTGACACACAATCAGACCGGAGCAGTTCGGGCTTATGTTTCCGGGACAGCTTCCATGGATGCTGTCGAAGACACTCGCTGTTTTGTTTTGCGGCAGTTGCGTCGACTGCCCGGTTTTCCGGTTAACAGCGGAGCTTTGGTACGGCCCACTTCTTGGTTCATGCGGATCGAGTGCTGATCTCGAAGCTCTCGCAGAACCCTAAACCCTAAACC